TGACTCGTGGACTTCAACTCCCAGAATTCCTCAGCCAGCATGGGGAACTATGGCCCCCTCATGACTCGTGGACTTCAACTCCCAGAATTCCTGAGCCAGCATGGGGGAACTATGGCCCCCTCATGACATGTGGACTTCAACTCCCAGAATTCCTCAGCCAGCATGGGGGAACTATGGACCCCTCATGACTCGTGGACTTCAACTCCCAGAATTCCTCAGCAGCCATGCTGAGGGGAAAGGGAGACGTTTCCAAGCTGAGCCATGCTGGCTGAGGAATTCTGGGAGTTGAAGTCCACGAGTCATAAAAGAGCCAAGGTTGCCTACCCCTGGGCTAGACCTTACCCAATTCTTGCAACTGTTTTTTGTATCTGTTTTAGCCTCCATCCCCCTAATCATCTCTGCACCCTTTCCAGAGTCTCCAGATGTGTGGACTTCAATTCCCAGAATTCCCTATCCTCACCACTGTGACTCGGGACGGATATCCCGCCGGCCAACTGGTAGAGACGCTGCTGCTGCTGCTGCTCCTCAAAAGTGCTGTGTTCGTTGAGGGCGGACATTAAGCGCCGGTAATCTTCCTCCGGAGTCATCTGGGTCACCGGGCCCTCCAACAGGGGCGTGTGGGAGTTTTCTGTGGGGCAGAAAGGCCCAAAAACAGAAGGGTGAGTAGTGAGAAAGAAGTGGGCCTTGCAAATCTAACACAGTTTCCCACGCTGCCAAGTTAAGTTTCCAGTCCTCATGATTCTGAATATAGAAGTTGAAAATGATTTGGCACCCAATTAGTCCTCATTTTAAGGAGTGTCAAATCCCCTACCAACTTGAATCTAGCCTATTTTAGCTTGCAAAGCAGCAAAAGGGCAGCTGAATTTAACTATTTCTGCATATATTTTTTCTAGGAAGGACTTTTTGTCCAGGGTTCTGCGCCTTCTTTCCACTCTCCCTAAAACGGTTGCTAAACAGAGAATTAAGCAAGAGCCGGTTTAAATGTCTCTTTACAAAAACTAAAATTGTTCGTGGGCGTTGGAAGATGCTAGCTGGAGGAAGCCTCGCTGGTTTTTCTCTCTCATTCCTTGTTTTTAATTCACGCTACTTATACATCACTTTTGTATGAAATGTTTAACTACCGTTTGGTATCAGGGAGAGCCACAACTTGATGGACAAATGCAGGCTGCAGAAGGAGAGATGAATTCATTTACAGCCACAAACTATCATTGTCAAGCATTCAAAGGCTGTTTTGAAGCACAGCCTTAGTGCTTCCCATCTCTCAACTTACAACCAGAATCGGGACTAGAATTTCCGTTGCTAAGCAAGGCAGGACCGAGCTGACTGTTAATCTGATTTTTAAAAGCCAAGAAAATCCTTGTTCGTCGATGGATGAGAGACCACAAGGAGACTCGGCGTGAAAGGATGGGAAGAAAGAAGACCCACCACGAAAAAATGAAGAGATATACACCTTGATTTTTAAGTGGAACTGCTCTCTTAAAACTCACTTTTTCTTACATTGCCCAGAATTTTCCCCTTTTCTAGCCCACCTGCTCTCCGGCATGGAGACCCCCTTCATTGGGGAGCAGAGAAGCAGAGAAGAGACACCGCTCAGCTCATGCAACCCACCCCTCATCCCAGGGAAGGAAGCAGCCTTGTCTAGACTTTTCGAACTCAACCCCCCACCCCCCAGGCTTCCTGCTGCCAATGCCCCCTGCCATTGACTGACATGCCCGCCCACGTTCAGCGGGGCCGACGGCCTTCCCAGGAGAGAACTCCGCCGCTGGATTGCAGCAACTGTCTGTCATCCCCTTCCTGACACGTGTGCACACCTCTCTGTGTGTGCGTGCAAGTGTGCAGGAGAGGAAGGAAAAAAAACCCTCCATTTCAAGAGCACAATCATTTAGATCCTCTTCCTCTCCGCTAATAAGCTAGAGGTTGCAGGAAATGGGAAATGAGAGAGAGAGAGAGAGAGAGAGACAGAGACACAGAGAGAGAGAGAGAGAGAGAGAGAGAGAGAGAGAGAGAGACAGAAAGAAAAAGAGAGAGAGAAAGAGAAAAAGAGAAAGAGAAAAAAAGAGAGAAAGTGAGAAAAAGAGAGAGACAGAAAGGGAAAGAGAGAAAGAGACATAAACAGAAAGAGAGAAAATGAGAGAGGGGGGGGGAAAGAGAAAGAGAGACAAAGAGAGAAAGAAAGAGAGATAGAAAGGGAAAGAAAAAGAGAAAAAGAGAAAGAGACAGAGACATAGAGAAAGCAACAGACAGAAAGACAGAGACAGAGAGAGACAGAGAGAAAAAGAGAGACAGAGAGAAAGAAAAAGAGAGACAGAGACAGAAAGAGAAAACGAGAAAGAGAAAGAGAGAGAAAATGAGAGAGACAGAAAGGGAAAGAGAAATAAATAGAGAGAAAATAGAGAGAGAGAGGAAAAAAGAGAGACAAAGAGAAAGAGAGATAGAAAGGGAAAGAGAAAGAGAGAAAGAAAGAGACAGAGACATAGAGAAAACGAGAGACAGAAAGAGAAAGAGAGAGACAGAGAGAAAGAAAAAGAGAGACAGAGAGAGAAAGAAAAAGAGGGGGGCTATGACGCTGCGACCGTCGTAAAGGTGAGTCAGTTGTCAAGCACCCGAATGCAAATCGCGGGACCGTGGGGATACTACAACCGGTCGCTAAGTGTGAAAAACGGTCCGAAGTCACTTTTTTCAGCGCCGTTGTAAATTCGAACGGTCCCCTAAACAAAAGCGTTGAAAGATAAGGACCTGCTTTTTTTAGGGACCCCAAATTCAATCAGGCTGACTCCAATCGATCCGAATGCGCAAAACAAATGGGATTGATTTCCTCACAATTGATTCGAGAGCGGAATCCGGCTAAATTCACCTACTTCCAGCAAAAACGTTCGATTTTTAAAATAAAATTTAAAAAAACGAGATTATTGAGTGCAATAAGGATGCTGCTGCAGATGGAAAGAAGAGATTAAAATTAGAAAAAAAAATCTTTATGGGCCACTATTTAGGGAACGCAGATAAGGTTGTGTGTCCAGCCACAGTTCCTGAAGGAAATCGGATGTAGAGCTTCTCTGTTCCAAGGCAGTGTATCCCAGTATTATTAGATGCACACAGGAAAAAGTTTAGAACTTCAGAAACACCAGCCAGCCCCCAAATTTGAGAATTTCACCCCATTTGCTTCTCCGTTTCCTCGGCGGAAGTAGCAAGGATCAGGCCTGTGGGCGGAGCCTTTGTAGATTATTCTGTGACATCACAGCAGCTCGACCAATGGCTGAATAGAGAAGATAAACTGGCATGCAAGAAGTCAAATGGCTGCATTCGGACAATGCAATAAGCTTCGATAATCTGGGTTAATTGGTGGCTTGGAGAACAAGATACTGTGCAAACCCAGAAAATGTGTTATTTTAGTAGCCAGCTTTAGCATACTAGATGAAAAGGGGTTCAGACCCCCCAAAAGGGACTCATCTGAACTAGGGGAGAATTCCCCAAATCTTTTTTTTTTCCACTTAAACTGCAAAGCCAGCTAAGGTAAGGCGATGTAAGTTATCCAGGTTGCGTCGCCTTTGTTTTTATCCCGGTGTTAATTTATAGTTCTGTGTGTTTTATTTGCGAAGCCTCGCTCCCCAAGAAGTCGGGAGGCGTAAACATTTAATCAACCAATCGATAAAAATAAAATAATTAAGCTGGCGGGGGGGGACGAGGGGGACAGGCAAGGTGATTGATCACAACTACAATTGGGAAGTTGAGGAAGGGGAGGGGGGTGGATGAACGGCTTTCGTTGTGTGTGTGTGTGTGTGTGTGTGTGTGGAAACGCCGTGGCATTGATCCCAAAGCGATAGATGGCCGGGTTTCATGGAAGTCTGATTAAAGCTCAGCTTCTCCCGCAAGATAGATTAAACCGCTATCACCTTGATTAATTTTTCAGAGGATGCAGCGGGAGCCTGGAGCGTGTGTCTGTCTGTGTGTGTGTGTGTGCGCGCACACAGAAAGGAGGGGAAGTGGGGGGGGGGGAAAGGAGAATTAGGAAAGAAAATATCCAAGAATTGCCATCTGGAAAAAGCAAAGAAAAAAGCAGCAAATCAAAATTGTAGAAACAGGTTTCGAAAGAGCTTAAGTCCTCCTTGGATAAACCAGCATTATCAGCATGCTGGGAGGGACCCCTGACAGCTGTCTAATTACAAGTGGAAAGAGGAAAAGAAGGAAGACAGTTTAAAAGGGGGGGGGTGTCAGGCCCCCTACTCATTTGGAGAAGCCCTTTAAAGTGCAGGGGGGGGGTGTCTTTAAGCTCCTTTGGGGAGCTATTCAAAGTGCTGGGGAGACGGGAGTCGCTTTAAAGTGTAAAAAACGAAGCGAAAATGCTGATTTAGGTCACCCTGGAATTTCCGATACAATTTTATCAATAAGGGCTACGTGGCTAGGCTAGTTTCCCCCCCCACACACACACACCTAATTTAGGGAGATTATAAGAGACAGATCTTGCTTGCTTTCCAAGTCGATCCTTCGGCGTTTTTCTGAGTGTGTCTCTAGCAATCGAAGTGGAATTGCAGCTTGACTCGCTGACGGGAGCGTTCTGCGTGCACGCAAGGCTCAAATTTCCCCTCCCGGGATCTGCCCCATAAAATGGAAGGTGGAGGCAATGGAGGGACAGGAAGCTTGGCTTGCGGTAGCCAAGGCCACCAAGAGCTCTGTGGCACCTGGAAGTCCACACACACATTGGCAGTTACAAGTTGCCGCCCTGGGACCTGACTTGAATCTCCAACCGTTTTTATGACGCTTGCAAAGCAAACCACGTGGTCGTTTAACGACCCACATGGAACGAATCCGGCATGCCCAATGGATGTTTCTCTGCTGTATATTTGAACCCGTTGCCAAACACTCGAAATGCGACTAGGCAGGGGGAAGGTAATGATTTACGACGGTGGGAAGCGCCACACGGTCTTTCTGAGGCTGTCCTCACTTGGAACGGTCGTTAAGCGAGGACTACCTGTAACTTTGCCGATTGGGGTGGAGGGCTTAAGAGGCGGGAAATTTGTTAACTGATAATAACTTTGGATAAAGGGTGGAAACTAGGCCACACGGAGGCCCGGCACCTCAACTGCTCTGGGTTGGCCCGATTAAAATTCAGAATAATTGTGAAAATAAATCTATAAACGAGGTTCTCAAAGACAGGAGCCCGGAAACCCTTCCTTCAAAAAAAAACCAAAAAAAAAAAAACAGCAGACGCAACTCCACCCATCACCCAGCAGAAATTGCAAGAGGTTTTTCTGTTCTCACCTTTGGGAGATTCGCTTCGAGATTTCTTGCTCTCCAAAAGACAGTCGCCGTTGCTGCCGGACACACAGACTTTCCTTTTGCCTAGAACTTCATCTAGAAAGAGGATGGAACGGAAAGAGGAAGAGGAGAGGAGAGAGAAGAGAGAAGAGAGAAGAGAGAAGAGAGAAGAGAGAAGAGAGAAGAGAGAAGAGAGAAGAGAGAAGAGAAGAGAAGAGAAGAGGAGAAAGAGAGAAGAGAGAGAGAGAGAGAGGAAAAGAGAGGGAAGGAAGCAAGGAAAAAGAAAGGAGGGGAGAAGGGAGGGAAGGAGGGAGGAAAAGAGGGAAGGGAAAGGAGAGGGGAGGGAAAG